CATACCTTTTCCATATTTGTCACAATGAATACTGTTCATCTTCAACTTCCTACAAGACGGAACTTATCAGATAGTAATGGAATAAAAATCTGAAAAGGAAAAATACCAATACCATTACGATTTCTAAATCCCTTACCCTTTAACACAAGGATTTGTCCCTCGGGATGGTTACAAGTGGCTCGCGGGGTGACAAGAGGATTTATTAGCCTGGGAAATTACGAGGACCATGATGGAAAATAATGGCATATATGTGTTGTTACCATGAGTGTCACCATGTAAAATCTAATAGAGAAAATGTACTTTGCAAATAGGTAGATGTCACCATTTAAAATCTAGAAAAGAAAATAAACCTTACAAATAGGTAAATGTCACCATTTAAAATCCAAAAAAGAAAGTGTACTTTGCAAATAGGTATATGTCACCATTGAAAATTTAATAGAAAAAATGTACTTTGCAAATAGGTATATGTCACTATCTACAATCTAATAAGGAAAATATATTTTACATATACGTATGTATATGTCTAAAAAGCCCTTGCCTGCCATCAAGATAGTAACTCAAATGCAAAATCACCCACAAAGCGTTAAACCACGACAGAAGATTTGAATAAATCAAAATACACAAACAACACATCAATTTTAACATCATAATGGGTTAAACCGAGACAGAAGATTTGAATACATTAATACGCACAAACAACACAACAATTTTAACAGTGAATGAAAAGGATGGACAGAGGAGAAGATACTGAGAGTAAATCTAAGAAAAAGTAATACGTTTGAAAAGGCAAAGCATGGTGAGGAAAAAATATATATATATAAGACGTTGATGCACCGAAGATAAACTGAAAAAAAATTAAGTCAATAAACTTCAAAATCAAATATTCAAATACAATCAACACAGTGATATCATCATAGGCATCATGATGAGCCAATTAGAATGTTAATTAGGAAATTCTACTCCTATAATAGACCTATTCAAATCACATATAAGATCCACAATTAAATAAATAAAACAGCCATTGTATGCAAATATTAAAATTATAAAAAATCAACAAAAAAAAGCGACACTGTTATAAAAAAAAAAAAAAAATATGACAAAAAATGATAACTGAAACCTACACTTAATATCAAAAAATATATTACCAAGCATAACCCTAATACCACCTTGGCTCAACAATTCTCAATGGCAATTTGTAATTAACTTCATGAATGACCTAAAAATAATAACAAAATTTCCGGTACTAGAATACGCAATATATTTTAACCCATTCATGCCCAGATGCCATAGAACGCATAGTCAAAAAGAAATTAAAAATACAGGTACAAATGGAAAAAGGCAAAAAAAATGCAAAAACATAGAAAAACGTAAAAATATAATAAACCCACCTTTATTTTTTTTAATTGGCAAAAAATGAATAAATAAAAAAGAATAGAGAAAACTTCAATAAATGATACAAAAATATAGCTCCAAAAAATAGAATACACTTACGAATGGTCATAAATATAAATATAGTAAAAATTACAACTGAGAATACAAAAATACTTAAAAATACAGCATACAGCCAAAAGTACAAAAATATAAAAAAAAATAGTAAAAAAAAAAAGATTAAAACCATATAATCAAATATAGAAGACAAACAATTTATTTGCGCTACAGCTACGTATATGGAATAAATTACGAAACATAAAAATTTGCCTAAAAATACAGAAAAATACTCAAAAATACCCTCAAAAAAAAAAAGGTTCTTTCCCTGACCCCAACACCTAGTATTTAGTTATCTATCTGTTTCTTTTAGTTTAATTGGTTTATGGTACTTTGTGTTTAATCAAATTGCACGCCTGTAATTTCCTGTTAAGTCCACTCCTGGGCCCCAGTACACTCTATCCCTGGAACTTTTTTCATTTCTGATGTTAATTTCTTCGTCTGCTCAGGTTATTTAATGTATGAATGTGTAGTTTTTTTCTTCTTCTCTTCTTCTTCTTCTTTGGTTAAAATACGGTCATTAAAGCTGCGTGTATGAGATTATTAAAGTATTAGGTGTTGGACAACTTTTATCATAAACTTGCCTACAAATACCTTTAAAAAAAGTCCGATTTTCTGTCCATTACAGGCAAGTTACCTTATGTCATACGGATGTATAAAGCTGAAACTATACAATATACAGTCAAAAATACAAAAACAGAATATACAATAACAAAATAGAGTCATATAGAGAAAGAAAATAATAATTAAAAGCCTTGCGTTGAATAATACTTTCATGCTACGAAGAGACGGTCGTCTGGATCGCTACACGAGCTGTTTTTTAGGTTTTAGATTTTCTTGCTTAAACACGTTTCCTAGGGCTTTTTATCTATGTTTATGACGGTCATCTTTTTCATCTTTACAAGTTCATATGGCAGAACCCACACCGTAAAAAAATATATATATTCCTTGGCATTCAACATTAGATGTATTTGTAGCAATATACGTCTTAAGCGCACCGCCTTTAGCGTTAAAATACAGTATCTTTAAAATCCACTAAAATACACTATAATAATACAGTAAGTAAATAATAAATCATAAATGAACACAGATTACATTTGTATATATAACTATAACATAATTATATATATAAATATAATATTTAAATTAATAAAAATAGAATAATATAGTACTAATGTAAATGAACAATGAACAAATAGTAAACGCACATAAAATACAATACATTAATACAACAAATAAATAATAAATAGTTCCTTCGTAGGGCATTCCTTACCGCTGCTGGTTCAAGGTGCCAGACGGACCTCTGGGCCGCTGAGGAGTCGGTCCCAAAAATACTATATTATAGTCTTCTTCTTATTATCTCTTCTTCTTTTTTTTCTTTTTTCTTTTTTTTGACTATGATATTGTCTATATCTATATCCCCTGGAATCCCTTTTCTTCTGATCCTCTTTTATAGCTGATATGTAATTAGTTATACTAGTTCTCTATACTATATAGTGTTGGGTGGGTCCCCTCAGCGTGCAGTGTTCAGGGAGGGAGGGTGCGAGCGACGTGGAATTTCTTGCACAGAAACGTTTGCGGCGAAAGAAATAAACGTTTTTGGCATGTATGGCGTATGTGTGTGGCTATGACTTTTTTTTTTCTCCTTCTCCTTCCATAAGAGCTGTGTGGGAAGCGGAGATGAAGTGGGGACCCTTGGAAAGGTGGAAGGTGTAGTGAAGTCTTTAAAGAGGGAATGTGGTGTCATTTTTTTTTTCATCTGCTTCTGCTTATTTTGAAGGTTGGTTTGTGGTGGTTTGTTGTATTTTGGGGATTCATTAAAATTGTGTTTTGTTGTGTGTTTGTTTTTTTATATTGTTGTTTATATTATTCATATAATTTGTAGTTTGTTGTGTGTTAGTTTTAGATGGTTTTGGTTTCTTTTTTTCTTTTTTTCTAATGATTTATAAGATAGGGTTTTTAAGCTTGAGATATCTTATTTATATATTGTGACTCGTGTCTTCTATCCAGCACTAAAATACAGTAGAAAATTGATCCTGAAAACATAAAAATACAAATAGAAGAATAAACACTTGTTGATTCAGTACAGTCTCAGTTAGCCAATTCCATGTAGTACAAGCTAAAATTTGCCTGTAATAGACAGAATGACCAAAGATAAGATGCTTTCTCAGTGGTATTACTTTTGCAAGTTGATAAAAAAGTAGTGCAACTCATATAACACTTTGGTATACATCTACGTCAAAATGTAACAGGCACAATAATCAAAGAGAAAAACTACAATCACAAATATATGGAATAATCTGCAAAGGCAAAAAGTAACCTCAAAAGTTTAGAAAATATGTTGCAACAGATACCGCAGAGAGAGCAAGTCCAGGGGTAGGAGTCCAGAACGGTGCCTCCGATAGGAAATTACGTTGCCGGAATGGGGGCCTTGGGATGAACGCATTGTGCGGTCTTAGAGAAAACATGACATTAAGAACTGTCGCTGTGTGAGGGTGTTATGGACTTAATCTCTGAGTGGTGACATGCAGAGGGTATTTTCGTAATTTCCCACTAAATTTGACGCCGCTATAGATATACCCGTATTGCATCTTACTCTATTTTTTATGCTCTATAAGATGGCAGTGTCTATTTCCCTCTATCTCTCTGCGTCGCCCTCAGTAACATTAACCAGGTTTTGGTTCTTACAGTATTGTTTGTGGATTTACCAGGAATGGCTAGAGTAATAGAGCTTAATCCTCGAGGGGTGCTATCACTTTGTGAACATTACAATACTTTGATTTATATCATTTGCAATGGAAAATAACAAGAAATTCATGCATTTTACTCCATGTATGTATGTATGTGTATGTGTATATATATATATATATATATATATATATATATATATATATATATATATATATATATATATATATATATATATATATGTGTGTGTGTGTGTGTGTATTATATATATAATATATATACATATATACACACATACACTAACACACACATAGTGAAGGCCTCTCACTCATGTTTTCTTTTTTTGTATATTTATTTATTTGTTTATTCCTCAATGTCAGTTTTAGATTCACGTGTGTAAAAAGGTCATATATTTGCATTAACTCAACAGTATCATAATCTAATCTGTAACCATTTTGGCATTGCAGGGAGGGAGTTAGCCATACGCAGCAGACATGTCTGCCAGCCCTTCAGCAGCCAGCGGCACGGCCCAGAGTCATGTCTTCACTACAAAGGATTATTGCTTGTTTCGTCTGTTTAAGATGATAAATACCGTTGCCTCCCAAGCACTTCTTTTTGTCTTGAACTGGTGCACCAAAGGTAAAAAAAATGAAGTTATGACTTATTGGGACTTTTTTACCGTAGTGGAAGGTTTTTCCTGGACGAAGTTGAAGAATGAATTTAGATTTGATACAACAATGAAGCAAGCATTGCAAACGAAGCCACCAAAGGAGTTTGATGTTTCGTTGCTATCTGCTTGCATCAGGTTTGCATGTCGCACCAGGACTGATGCACAGGACCTCCTTAGTCATGTAAAGTCGGTGAAGGATTTTAGAAATAACATTATACATGAAGGACTGGATGACAGTTCCTCCTTCAGGCCTAAAACAGATGACTTAGAACAGTTTCTGACAGAACTAGTCAATACAGCTGAGACTATATTTAGTATTCCTTCTGATGAAGTTTCTACTTATGTTAAAACCATGAAGGATAATATCAACCAAATTTGTTCCGAACATTTTTCACAAGCAGATATGTCTGAGTACAGAAATGAGTATCTTCAAGAGAAGCTCAAGAGTGTTGGTATAGCTAACCTTAAGAATTTTTACAAGCAGTTACAATATATTACTCCATTACATTACTTGAATGAGAATATTCCCCTTCTGGTTAGCATGATTTACATACAACTAGAAATCGTAGATGCGGGTAAAGGCAGTAAAGGGCAGCAGGTTATTTACACAGACTTGTTTCAGCATATGATCAGTAGCCCAAGTGGACACCCAAGTAACAAAGCCAAGGTCATCTTGGTTGAAGGTCCTTCTGGAGTCGGAAAGACAACCTTGACCAGGCTGCTGATTAATGGCTGGAGTGAGGGGGATTCCAGCATTGAAGGCCTTGAAGATTTTGACTTTCTGCTCTTTGTTGAGTGCAGAGTGCCACACATTGAGAAATTCTCTGAACTCTTGGTCTCTTTGATGCCAGATATGGCCATGGTATGTGAGGGAGATGAAATACTGAAAAACTTGCTCAGAAAGAAAGTGCTTGTGATAGTAGATGGCCTTGATGAGATGAACCCTTCATCAAAAAAGCTCTTTCAAGAGATCCTCTACAACACACGGACTTCCAACATGGTTGTTTTGGCCACCACTCGGGCAGAGGCACTCAAGACATACTACAAAATTGTTCCAGAGGGCATATGCACAACACATATCAAAATCATAGGCATTCCTGAAGACAAAAGAGAGGCATTTGCCATCAAGTACCACGAAGAAATGAAGAAGACTAAAGACTATGGGTGTGACACAAAAGGGCTAGTACAGTATGTACGCAGAATGGGTATTAACCTTACAGAGTACTGGCGCATTCCCCTTCACTTGGGTAAACTAGTGATGCTATGGGTGCTGTGGCCAGATGTTCTAAATGCAGTAACAACTGTAACAGAGCTGTTTATGGAAACTGAAGTTCTGATTGACGAAGAACTTACAGACAGACTAATAAAAAATAATAAATGTAATGACCAACTTCCTGAAGATATTGCAGAGAAGATAAATAACCAGTTTCGACCAGAACTGTATAGGCTAGCTTTGTATGGACAAAGAGAAGAAGGGTTGATTTTGAGTGATAAGTCAGAGAAGACATTGAAAAAGGTATGTGAGGACATGAGACTGTCATGGGCTGAAGTGATCGGAGCATTCTTTGTACAGAGAAGTATGTGGACAAAGACAGGCACTGTGACCAAATATAGTTACTCTCACAGAGGGACGCAGGATTTCTATTCTGCACTTTACATACTGAATGAACTCAAGGAGCCAAAGAATGAAGCTTGTTCAGGACAAAGAATTAGATGTATATTGAAGGACGTTTATAGGTCTGATCCAGAAAATTTCACTCTAAAGAAGTTTCAAGAAGTATTGGTGCACCTGATCAGCCTTTTGTACACAGAAGGTGAAATCAGCAATCAAGAGACGTCGGAGGAAATTGTTCAGTTGTTGGAAGAATCTGGCGTCAATGACAAACAGGCTTGGCTGGATATCTTGAGCAACGTCAAGGCCAGCGATACCATCACCAGTCTGGTTTCAAAGTACGTTCCTGATGTGATGAACTTGAAAAGCCAAATAACAATAAGTGACGCTCAGGTCTTTGTCTACTCCAAGCTGATCACCAGAGCAAGCCCACTGAGAGTAACCGTCAGTCTTGCAAAGAATCCCAGCAGTGTGCCCAATCTGCAGGACCTCCTCCAGGCCATGCTTCCCCTGAAGTGTGAGATGGAAGTCTATTTCCACAATGACTTCCTACATCCCACTACTGCCAACTGCACGACTGATCTGCCTCTGCTGAAGCTGTTTGAAGAGTAAGGAAATTTATGTGGTTATTTGATATATATTCTGCGAATGAAGATATTGCAATGTGTGATTCATAAAGGTTTTCAAAAATTAAATAAAGTTCATCATGGTCTTTGAGGGATTGTGGTTATTAGGAATAGTCACCTTGTAAAAAGAGATATCACAATGTCTGATAGATAATTGTAAAAGTCTTAGAAGTATTTTTATTTTCAATTACAGGGGTTCCATCACAAAGTACATGGGTTCTGCAAGAAAGGAAATCTTGACTGGGCTTCCACACAATGTTGAGATGCTGTATATGTCTGTTGCAGACCAAAGTCAGCTTGAAGATTTGATGACTACAGTCATGAGGCTCAAACGACTGGAATGGCTTTGTGAGTGACTGGTTGTGTTTTTCAAATTTTAACTGCCCTTTTAACCTATTATACATGTGGTGTCCTAGATC